CTCTCTCTCTCTCTAATAAATAAAATCTTAAAAAAAAAAAAAAAGACACAAGAACAGGGGCACCTGGGTGGCTCAGTGGGTTGAGCCTCTGCCTTCGGCTCAGGTCATGATCTCGGGGTCCTAGGATCGAGTCCCACATCGGGCTCTCTGCTCTGTAGAGAGCCTGCTTCCTCCTCTCTCTCTCTGCTTGCCTCTCTGACCACTTGTGATCTCTCTCTGTCAAATAAAGTCTTAAAAAAAAAAAAACATAAGAACAAAGTGTGGAGAATAAAATTACAATGAAAGATGAAGGAGCTAAAAGCATGGATCAGTAACCACAACAAAATAAGAACAGATTAAATTCTCAATATAAAGGATAGAGCATTTCATATTAGGCCAAAAATGTCTAGTTACATATTCCTTACCAAAAAATTATGCTCACGAAGAATATGGAAAATCTTACTAAGGTGCAACACCCCCATGACCCAAAAACCCCCAAGACATTAAAGGAAGGAATGGATGGTGAGAATGGATAACATCTCCTTTTCGAATCAAGCAGTTTTCACTTACTTGCTTTCAACTAAGTTGAAAGAGAAATTAGAGTTGAATTAAGAAAATGGTTTCATTATAATAGCATCTAAAAGAATACTTAAGAATAAATTTAAGCAAGGATGCATAAGCTTTGCACACTGAAAAACTACAAAACACTGCTGAAAGAAACTGAAGAAGACCTAAGTAAATGGAAAAACACCTCACGTTCATGGACTGTAAAACCTAATACTGTTAAAATGACAATATTCCCCAAAATGATGCACAGATTCAATGCAATCCTTACTAAAATCTCAATAGCCTTTTCTTTGCAGAAATAGAAAGGTTAACCTAAAATTCATATGGTCTTGCAAGGGATCTTGCTGTAGAAGAGTTTGGTGGTTTCACAATAAATGCAGAATGACCCATCAATTTTACTTCCAGGAAAGAAGTGAAATAGGTCTTCAAACAAAAAACTTGTACATGAATGTTCATAGCAGCACTGTTCTCAATACCCAAACATGGAATCACTCCAAATGCCCACCAACTGATGGATACACAAAAGGTGGACTACACATCAGTGGAGTATCATTCAGCCATTAAAAAAAAGTAGTGGTACATGCTACGACATGGATAGGTATCAAAACATTAAGTGAGAGAAGCCACACATTAGAGATTTCATATTATGTGATTCCATTTATATGGGATATCCAGAATAGACAAATCCATAAGCAGAAAGCAGATTAGTGGTTGCTAGAGGCTGGGGAGACGGGGGAGTAATTTGCTCATTAATTATGGCACTGCTCATTAAAGGTATAAGTTTTCTTTTTGGTGTGATGAAACTATTCTGGAAGGAAGGGTGGTTACGGTTGCACAACATGGTGAGTGTGTTAAGTGCAACTGAGTTCTACAATTTAAAAAGGTTCAAGTGTGAATTGAAAGAGGAGAGTCACTCACCAGACTGCAAAAATTTAGATACTGCCCAATCCCCAGGACTGTCACAAAGCCTATCTCATCCTATTGATTACCCTGGATCACTGTGGTCTGCCCAAACTTGCTCCTTTGACAGCCATGAGCCCTAATGCTGGCACAATTCATGTGCAATTCAACTTTTCCTCTGAACTGGACAAGAATTACTCTATGCCCACCACTTCTTTTTATCATTGCAGGACTGTCACTGGAAGGTACATAATGCCACCAAATGAAGCTTATCAAAAAACTTTCTTATGTTCTGGTTTCAAAACTCAGTAAGATCACAAGATGTGATCATTTATCTACAAGGCCTCTTTGCCCTACTGTAGTAGAGGTCAGCAAACTGCAAACAGTTCTGGCAAATGGCCACATAATCAATATTTCAGGCTTGCCGAGCTACACAGTCTCTGTCATAACCACTCTGCTCTACCCCTGTAATAGGAAACCAGCCACAACCACAAATGAATGAGCATGGCTGGGTCCCAATAAAACTTTATATAGACCCTGAAATCTGAATTTCATACAATTTCCCATCACAAACTACTACTCTTGATTTGTTTCTCGACCACCTAAAAGTTCATAGTTTGTGGGCCGCAGAAAAATAAGCAGCAGGCTGTATTTGGCCCATGTACTGTGATCTGTTGACCTGTGCTCTGCATTTTCCCTGATTTCCACTATTTCATTTCTACTATTTCATATGAAGGTACAGACATTTTATAAACCTTACATATAACAATCACTGTTAGGCAAAACTGTGAACAAGTGAACAGCTCACCTGGGATGTGATCATCTTCTGCTGGCCCTGAAGAGTGTGGATAACCGTGAGGGTACAGCTGAGAAGGAAAGAACCAACATGACAGATGCCGTCAGCCTGAAAAACTCCACACAGCTGTGGGCAAAACACCCCTGAAGCGGAGATGCCTTGAGAAAGGACAAGAAGGAGGACAGGAAGGGAGGGAACAGCCCATGCACAGTTCCATAGTGCTTGGACACACCAGTTTTTAAACACAAAAACATCTGTTTTCAGGTCATCTGGCTGGCTCAACTGGTGGGGCAACCAACTCTTGATCTTGGGGTTGTAAGGTTAGAGCCCCATGTTGGGTGTAGAAATTACTTAAAAATAAAATCTTTAAAAAAATGTTTTGTTTTCTCCTGATTTACTAACAATGTATGCTCTAAAAACAGAAAAATGTAAACAACACAGCACACTAAATAAACAAATTAGGAAAAGTCAAGGAATGGAACGTAATGCTTTCATTAAAACTGATGCTGAGCGAAAATATTTCAAGTTATAATGGTCATTATAAACCAGAGAATCCTACTAGTTTCTGAAAAAAGGGGTGGGGTTTTAAGGGCTGGTCTTTTTCCAAAGGGGTGGGAAAAGGAGTTTGCTTTAACTGTTTCAGCCTCTCAAACATTATCTTTTTTTTTTTTAAAGATTTATTTATTTATTTATTTGACAGAGATCACAAGTAGGCAGAGAGGCAGGCAGAGAGAGGAAGGGAAGCAGGTTCCCTGCTGAGCAGAGAGCCCGACAAGGGGCTCGATCCCAGGACCCTGGGATCATGACCTGAGCCGAAGGCAGAGGCTTAACCCGCTGAGCCACCCAGGCGCCCCTCAAACATTACCTTTTGATTAAAAACAACAAACTGGTTCTGACTTATCTGTTGTCAAAGCAGGAAACAGCTGCCTGGGCCATCAAGCGATTCAAAGTCTACTCTTATTTCTCCCATAACAAAATGCGTGAGTAGGAGCAGGTAAGTGAAAGAAGACCCATTTCCTTCCCACCCTATCCCTATTTATTCTATATCTATTTAAGCAGAGCACAAATAGGTAAGCCTTAAAGACCTTCCCTGCAGTTCCATCTCAGATTCTATCATCTCAGGACAGAGGGATGGCGCTGGCTGTGCTGTAGTGAGCCAGCCGCTGAGAATCTGAGAGCGGAGGAAAGATGAAGGGATGGAGGCGGCAGTTTGCTCCTCTGTGGCTGCTAAGCCCTTCCTTCCACATGATGCCCCACAGCTCTCCAACAAGCAGTACCTTCGGTTCCTGTTACCCTACCCTACTCTCCCAGCCACAGCTGACATCCCTCCTGAAAGCTGGCCAAATACGTCCACCATCACCCAGTTTGCCAGAATCTGGCTATGAACGTGGTTCTGGCAGCAGGACCCAAACTGTTTCCGGCTGAGCAAGTCTTTGTCCCTTCCCCTTCACTCTGGATCTCTACTGAGGTCTGGGACCAACTGACTGGCGTCTTAGGTGGGGTCCCTGCTCCTGGAACCCTCCTCCTCACAAGAGCTGCCTTGTTCCGGGAAAACCGGGCATAGCCAGTTGGAATCCCCATCCAAGATCTAAAGCTCTTGGACCTTCCGTCTCCCTCAATCACAAGCTGGACCTTCCGTAAACGCCAAGTGCTGCTACTGAGGGAACGGGGAAGGGTGCAGCGGGTGAGCGGGGCCCGGATGCCTCCACTCAGGTGCCAGGCTCACAGGTTCTCCAGAAACAAGGTCGGGGCTCCTGCAGCTGTTTGCTGTTGGGTCTGCCTCACGCCCAGGTCTGATGCGGGCAGAGGATGAGGCAGGTCCTTCTACGCCACCTTGGGGCTCGCTCTAATCACCTCCCCGGCCCGGCACGCGGTTGCCATGGGGACGCTACACTGACCACAGGTGAATTGGAAGACGAAGAGGAACCGTGAGTGGAGAAGAACAACGTTCCCCCCAAAAGAGAAGCGCCCGGCGACTAGCGCCCCGAGGCCGGTTTCCGCCGGTCTTACCGACGCCTCGGCCGAGCCCTCACGTCGGAGATCAAAACACCAAGCTTGGCTCGGTAACAAGCGGTGGGACGTGCTTGTTCGCATTCGATGCATGAAGACGGAGCAGGACTCACCCCGAGCTCTGGCACCAAAGCCTCTTCCTCCGTCACCCGCCCCTCCGCGGGGAACCTCCCGTTTAAAGGGTCACCCACGCCCAAGCCCCCGGGGCTCACCGGTGCGCATTGCCCACCTGCCGCCGCGCCGCGGAAGCATCCGGGACGGTCTTCTCGCGAGGCCGCGGCCGCCGACGCGAACTAGACGGGAGGGGCGCAGCGCACATGCGCAGAAGGCTAGAGGCGACTCCCGCGTCCAGCCACACCGCGCAGACCAAGTTTCCCAAGTACCTGCGCCGCCTCGCTGGAATACGGCCTTCAGATTTGGGAGACGTTGGGTAGAACTGCTTGATTTAGCAAATAAGGTATAAGCAGGGGACCTACCGGTAATACAGTTTTATTTTTATTTCTTTATTTTTTAAGATTTTATTTATTTGACAGATCACAAATGCCTAGGCAGAGAGGCAAGCAGAGAGAGAGGAGGGGAAGCCAGCCAGCCCCCTGCTGAGCAGAGAACCCGATGCAGGGCCCGATCCCAGGACCCTAGGACCATGACCCCAGCGGAAGGCAGAGGCTTCAACCCACTGAGCCACCCAGGCGCCCCTATTTTTATTCGTTGTTTACCCGAAATTTTTTAAGTATCTAAATACATATCTATTCACTAGGTTTTTTCCCTGAAAGATGGGCTCTCCTAGCAGTTCCTTGTTTTGCAGAATGCACTTGCAGAATTTCTTCCAGAGACAGTCTGTGTTCCGTTTACATTGTAACGTATCTTAAACAGTATCCATGTCTCTCGCATTTCGTTTTGTCCTTCTGGACATTCACTGATGAGAAAACACACCCGATTTAGCATTATGTGTGGCATGAAGTTAACACTGGGAATTGCTCTTCAAAATCTGATTGCAGAAATACATAATACCGTCTTTCATGGCATAATTTGCCTTTCCCATTCTTCAAAATTACATTGGCTCTCTTGATTAATGACTTTTAAAAATGTTGTCCACTGACAAAAGAGAACTTTTTTAAATCTTTGACAATTTTTCCCTTCCTCTTTAAAACTACACGTGATAATTCACTTGTTCCCATGCTGGAAAAGCACTTAGTAACATTTATGTAAAAAAAAAAATCAAATTCTGCAAGAGATGAAACTCATTTCAAAAGACAGTCATGGCAAGTACAATGATGATTATCCACAAGTCAATTTATTTCCTATTTATAAGCATTGTTTTCCCTTTTAAGAACAAGCTTGACACGAAGATTTCATCAATTCTTCCTTTGATGCTTTCAGGTTCCACTGAAAACTGGAATATTTAATAATACTTTTTGCTTTCCTTTCAGTTTCCATAATCCTGTTGCTAAGAAGATACTGAAAACTATAAACAAGAGATAAGCAAATTAGTTTCACTCAATGGATTATCTAAAAAGACAACAAGAAAAAATAGTCAACAAGAATACTGGGACATTTTCTTGAGATTTGAAATATGATTTCAGTACTTTAAATAAACAGAACTCTCTTAACTATGTTTGTTAAAGAGAACCAGAGGGTTCCTGAATGCAAGAGAAGTGAAGAATACTGGATGCCAACAAAAATCACATAAATCTCTTAGTCACTCAACTCAAACACAGCATAAATTCAATTACTTCAACGTGTATAGAGAGAATATCAAAAGCTATTTGAACAGCAGGTATCATGCATAGAGGCATATGACAGCCAACAGCCCACATCTTCCATAGAATCATTCATGCTTTGTTTCAAATTGGAATAAACATTTCTGCACCTTTATGCAAACATCCACCAAAATCTGTATTAGTATAGGTATATATAGGAATTATTATAGCTCCACCAAAAGCAGCACAGAAGCAAAGGGAAAATATTTATTTTCTACATTGTAATTAATTGAATCCATGGCGATGCTGTAAAAAGGTGGCACCATTTGATCCTTGATAATCTCTGTAATCATAAGTGAAGCTATTATTTTTGTTGTTAATTTCATCCGGGCACCTGAAATTCTGATTGCAACTTCAGAATCAGAAAACACTTCTGTCAGCAGTACATTCAAACAGTCTATCTGAGCTGAGAGACTGTTGATGATGTACAGCATACAGGGTGCTTACAACTTCTGCTAAAATTACTGTATCTCAATCTGAATTCCTCGTAATAGTAAATTTATTTTGTCACTTTCTATAGAACTAGTTGAGGAAATAATACAACTCTTAGGTTAAACTATTAGTATATGCTGGTTTATACCTGACTACTATCTTTGCATCCTGGACAGAAACCTTCAAAGGAAATTTTTCCTTTCTTAATCAATGTCCACCTTTTAGAAAATCTATCGCATGATTTACACTTGCATTTTGGCATTTTAGGATTCAAATATATGCAGATAAAAACAGATAATACCAAGTACTGCAAAAATTGAAACAATAATCTCATAACTGCATTACGTCAGAATTCATAACTAACCACAAAAAGGCTGAATCATTGAAAGCATTGCAAACTTGCAAACTAAAAATGTATTGAAGTCATATTATCATTTAAGTGGATGGAGACGGCTGTCCTTAGAAGGCCTGCTTATAAGGTTTGCCCATGGCTAGTACCTGGGAACTTGGGTTTTGAAAGGGCTTGAGAACTTGGACTTCTCAAGTGTTCCTACAATCTACCTGATAAAAGTGGCTTACATGTGGGCGCCTGGGTGGCGCAATTGGTTAGACTGCCTTCAGCTCAGGTCATGATCTCAGGGTCCTGGGATTGAGTCCCGGCATCAGGCTCCCTGATCAGCAGGGGGCCTGCTTCTCCCTCTCCCTCTGCCTGCTGCTGTCCCTCCTTGTGCTCTCCCTCTCTCTACCTTGTCAAATAAACAAATAAAATCTTTTTTTTAAAAAGTGGCTTACTGTGTGCCTAAATTTCTTTGTACAAACAATATGGTTTATGCTGAACACCTACTTTCCTTCTGAGAATCTGGAATTTTAGTATGTGTCAGGCAGAGGGACATACATAACCAGCCTCCATAAAAACTGTGAGCACAGAGATTCTAATGACCTTACATGGTGGAAAACATTCCACATGTGCTATCCTAGTTCATTGCTGGAGTTATTAAGCACATCCTATGTGACTTTACTGGAAGAGAACCTTTGGAAGCTTATGTCCAGTTTCCTCTCGACATTGGCCATGAACCATTCCCCCTTGCTAATTTTGCTGGAAAAATTTTAGCTATGAGTATGACTGTATGCTGAGTCCTGTAAAACTTCCTAGCAAATCACTGAACCCAAGGATGGTCTTGGGATCTCCAAATCAATTGACATCAGAAGTGGGATTATCTAGAACAGAACAGCACTTACTCATGGAAATATGGCCAAATAATTGTTTTGTCAAGGAAGAAACAGAGCTGGACAGTGAAGCCAAAAACAAACAAATAAGCAAACAGATTTTATTCAGGGCTGTGGCAGTAGGGAAAAAGAGATCTCAATACACAACCAGGCTAAATTCTAAATGCAGCATGGGCAGTAGGAATTTATAGTCAAAGAGCAGGGTTGGGGTCAGTGGATGGAAAATTACTAAAAGGAAACATCAGGGTTAAGGAGGGCTTAGGCTAAATCAACCTAACAAGAATCTTGTTAAAGACAGGCCAAGGTGATCAAACATCACCTGGAGGATGAAAAACCAATCAGATATCCAGAGTGATCAGTTACAGATGATGAAGGGTTCTGGTTAAACTGATTTACCCAAGAAGGCTACCCACACAGTGGGAATCAGAAATTGCCAGACTTGTCATTTGGTCTCCCATGGCCTGTACCCCACCTTACATGCTTACTTTGCTGATATATTCAATTTCAACCAACTCCAACTCACAACACCATTGCCTCAGGTTTGCCTTCACTTATGTACCCCACTAGTTTTCCATCCTAATTGCTCCTTAAGGTACTTGTTAGAAGTTCATTTAAGGGTCCACTTGCTGGACCAGAACTTGAAGAGGAATTGTTTGAGAAGACAATTATGTCTCTCCCAGAATTGTGTATTTTTGAAAGATAAAACATGTGCTTTGGATACAACTAGTACTGTCTTGTACTTTGAAGGGAAAGAGGAATGTCCTGGGAAATCCTTGTATCACAGTGTTAGTATATATAGAGACATGTGATTTCTTAAAATATTTATTTATTGGGGGGGGGGCAAAAGGAGAGGGAGAGAGTCTTAGGCAGACACCATGCTGAGCAAGGAGCCCAACATGGGGCTCGATCTTATGACCCTGAGATCAAGACATGAGTCCAAACCAAAGGTCTGTTTAAGACTGCACCATGCAGACACCCTGAGATGTAGGATTTTTATTTATATTTTTAAATTTATATTATATTTTGAACATCTGTGAGCAAGAGATTCCCAGAGTTCTTTGAAGGGGTCAGCTCTTAAGGAATGTCTCCATAGTTCATAATAAATGTGGAGATGGGACTCTTTTTTGGCAGAAGCATCCAGTGCTAAAATGACTACCTGAAGTTTGGCTAATTTTGTTGACTTTTGTTTGGGTCTCATCCTTTAATCAAAGACCTCCCGAGTGAGGGATGGAAACACCAACATCCCACCAAGTTATATCATCTTTATGATGAATAGTAGTGCCAACAAACTCCTATTATTGTTCATTTGACTAATCCCAAGGGACTCTCCAGGCAGTTCGGGGGTCTTGAGGAGAGGTGGCCTCCTCTTGCACCATGGTATTTGGCAATGGACTGGGGACAGGGGAGGCAACCCCCACCACTGCAGGTGGATTAGGCCAGAGATCCCAGGTTTGGCTCCATCCTATATTAAAGAGGCACTGGTAGCTAGTGAAGTTTGTGAGGTGTTGTTTCCATGATCCAAGTATAATGGGCATCTGCGTGTGGAGGGCCATAGGCTTAGGGTCTCTGAGAGCCTTTATCTCTGAGATACCCTAGGATATAGCTAGTAATTTGTTGTTCTAATGACGTACAGCATGAAGCTAAAAGGTTCAGTCTCTTCTATCAGAAGCTCTTGGGCAACTTATGGCCATGATATGTGGTCCAAGACTCTAGGAGGCATGACATGAGGATGTCAAAGTCTCTTTAATGAAGGAGTTTCTAAGCACTCACAAAAGTGCCTGTTGATTTTA